ATGCACACAATTGGAATTTTTCCCCAAAAATATTTTTATGGTGGGCAAGTATACACTTGTGGCTGTAGTATTTCAAAAATATATTTAATGATTTATAAAACATAAGTCAAGAGAAATAGGGGAAAAATTAATTATGGAAAGAATATACGTGTCCCCAAGGAAGTATGATATTTAATTGAAAATAAATGTTAAAGATGTTAAGACTTTAATGAATATTAATGATAGAACTGAATTGGAATGGAATGAGGGTTTTAATTACATATATTTATAATCCTTTTTAAAAAAAGAATATAGTGTGTATTTTAAGAATGTACCAAGCAGAATTCAATTGGAAGTTATGTATTATGTATTATATTGAAAGTTATAACCTTAAGGTATATATTGAAGTTTAAATAAGAATTGAATGGATAAAATTAAAAGATATAAAGGTGTCATACTCCAATTAGTAACTACAGGAGAAAATTTGTTTAATGAGAAAAGATAATATGAAATTGAAACAGGACAGACAAAAGTATAAACATAATGATTTGAATTGAGATGAGATAATCAAAATAAAGTTGAGAAAATTAAAAGAGGGGAAAAACTATAGAGAAAATGCAAAATAGTAATAAGATATGGAGTAGAACACAAAAATGAGCATGAAATTGTGTTTGTGTCTGTATAAAGAAGTGTAACCCAGGACCATGCTATTTTCAAAAAAGATGTTTTACTAGTATTTTGTGTGTGTGAAAACCCAAATAAAACTTTAAATATATATATAATATATATATATATATATTGGGTGGATGATAAGTGGAATTCTGCAAAAAGATATGTTGTATACCAGCAGTGCCTGTAAGTGTATAACTTCTGTAGAATAGCACTTATTGTAGTAGGAAATTTATATCTGTTTATTTATTGCTATTTATTCATGAAATTTATCTATTGCTTCAAACCAGAGAGCTTCCAGAGTCTTATGCAGAGTCTTATAATAAGATAATATAAGTATAATAACTACAACAACAAAATGTAATAAAATGAATATTGGCACCTGTAGCTTTACAATCCATTCCTGAAAACTTTCTGAATGAGCCTGAGTTTTACCATTTTTTTTAAAAAAGACCATACTTTTCTCAGGGATCAGGTAGTTCCAACAGACAGCCAAATAAAATGGATACAGGTTAACAGAGTTGGAAGGGACCTTGTAGGTCATCTAGTCCAACTCTCCGCCCAAGCAGGAAACCCTACACCATTTCTGACAAATGGCAGTCCAATCCAGTCTCAAGTGATGGCGCTCCCACAACTTCCAAAGACAAGCTGTTCCATGGGTTGATTGTTCTCACTGTCAGAAAGTTTCTCCTTATTTCCAGGTTGAACCTCTCTTTGATCAGTTTCCATCCATTATTCCTTGTCTGGCCTACAGGCGCCTTGGAAAATAGTTTGACTCCCCCCCCCCCCCCCCCCCCCCCCGCTGTGGCAGCCCCACAAATATAGCAAATAAGTATGAAAATTAAATAGCAGACAGATACTATTGTTAAGATGAATTTTAAAGTTTTGCAAAAATCAAAAGGCACAGACAGGTAGTCCTCAATTTACAACCATTCATTTAGTGACTGTTCAAAGTTACAAAGGTACTGGGGGGCGGAAATGACTTACAAAACGGTCCCCACACCTATAACCATTGCGGCATCCCCATAGTAGCATGTTCAAAATCTAGGTGCTTGACAATTGGCATGTATTTATGATAGCGGCAGGATCCTGGGGTCATGTGATTGCCCTTTTTGCGACCTTCCCAGCTGTCCTCCAACAAGCCCCAGGAGGAGAAGCTGGATTTGTTTAATAACCACAATTCCCTTAACTCCAGTGGTTTGCTTTAACAACCATGACAAAAAGGTTATAAAATTGGACATGACTCATTTAACAACTACCTTCCTCAGCAATTGAAATTCTGCTCCCAACTGTGGTCGTAATCAGATCCCTGATTTGTGGGAAGAGCACCCCAGAGAATTGGTAGGGTGAACAATGAACCTCTTTCACAAGGTTGCTGTAACTGTATCTTTAACATCAGCTTCATTTTTAGACCATGCTAAAAATATTATCTTCAAACTGCATAGAGGAGGTTTTCCCAGCTTGGATTATATAACATTTTTTGTCATCATAACTTGCAATTCTTCACTCAGAAATTGGCTAGGAATAACATGCATATGACATGCAAGGACCTTGGAGGTCTTCTAGTCCAACCCCCTGCTCAAACAGGATACTCTATACATTCCACACAAGGGGCTGTCCAGTGTCTTCTTAAAAGCTTCCAGTTGTGGAGCACCCACAATTTCTGTAGGCAATTCATTCCACTGGTTAATTGCTTTGTCAGGAAATTTCTCCTTAGTTCTTGGTTGGTTCTCTCCTTGATTAGTTTCCATTCATTATTTCTTGTCTTGCCTGCAGGTGCTTTGTTTGGAAAATAGGTTGACACCCACTTCTTTGTGGCAACCCCTTAGATCAGGGCTGTCAAACCCATGGCCCGCTGGCCGGATTTGTTATGTCCTGCCCCCCCCCCCCCCCGCCACTCAGTTTAGCAAAGGGGAAAGAAGTCCCAATACGTCATGTGATGCCGCCGTGATGACGTGAGTTTGACAACCCTGCCTTAGATAATGGGAAAATGCTATTATGTCAACCCTAGTCCTTCTTTTCACATGAATAGATCAACCAAATTCCTCCAACCATTCTTCATATGTTTTAGTCTCTGGCTTCCTAATAATCTTTGTTGCTCTTTTCTGCATTCTTTCCAGAGTCTCTACCTCTTTTTTATAACATGGGTAGCCAAAACTGGATGAAGTATTCTAAATGTGGTCTTACTAAGGCTTTATGAAGTGGTACTGTACTAATGCTTCGCTTGATCTTGATTCTGTCCCTCTGTTAATGCAACCTAGGATTGCATTGGCTTTTTTGGCTGCTGCTGCACACTGCTGGCTCATATTTAAGTGATTGTCCACTAAGATTCCAAAATGCCTCTCACAGTTACTGCTATTGAGCCAGGTTTCACTTAATCTGCACCTGTACATTTGTGTTTTCTTGTGTAATTGTAAAACCGTATGTTTCTCTACAATGAATTTCATTCTGTTAGATAGGGCCCAGTGTTCAAGTCTGTCAAGATCTTGATCTTGAGCCTATCTTCTGGGATGTTGACTATTCTTTCCAGTTTAGTGCCATCAGCAAATTTGATGAGTTCCCCTTCTTTTGTTCTTTTGCAGCCTCTTTAGGGAAAAAGGTATTTCAAGGGGCAAGGAAAGGAGAGAAGGGAGGGAGGATTTAACCAATTCTTATCTTGAGGTAGGGAAAAAAACTAGAAGTAAACTACTACTTCAGAACTGATAAGCTGCTGGTAGCAACCAGGGTCACCTGTTGATAGCAACCAGGCATAGAAAATGCTGTCTCTTTGCTGCCATCTAATGGATCTGTGCAGCCCACTCTTAATTATGTAAGCTGTTGCTAGATTTACTGCAGCAAATCAGGTATTTTTACCCTCTGCATTTGAAGACGGTGAAGTCTGCAGGTTCTGGGACCAAACTTCAGCTGGGAGGAGCTCTGCTCAGAGAAGGAGCCAACACAGATGGGAGAAAAACAAGTGTGTTGCAATAATGAAAATATAAGGTCAGCATGAAAACTTCCTCTTAAAGTTACCAAGAATTATTACACTTGGTAAACTGTTATTGATACAGGCTAAATGTCTCCCCCACACCCCACTCTTTTATGTCTATTCAGCATTATACCCTTTCTTTTCTTTTTTGTGATTTTTTGAGGGGGAAATCAAACTGCACTTTTCTTTCCCAAAATATAAGACATGTGCAATATTAAAAATGCTGAGGCAAATTTATTTCCCTTTGTATATCACTATCAGGCAGTTTCTCAGGAGGCTAAATTTCCACTAGTTGATAAATTCTAAGGAAGTCATTAATGTAAAACCTTTCCTGTCCATATTTAAGGGCTGGCAAATTTCTGTCAATGGCAGAGAGGAAGCTTCTGGATGGAAAGTTCAGCAAATACAGTGTAAAACGGGACAGTGACTGTATCTTTCTATCATTAATGGATCCTTCTCTCTGGAAGGACAAGAAGGAAGAAGCAATGGGAAAATACAAAAGTGTCTCACATTGAGGGCAATGACATTTTGATGCTCTATAAAATGTTATGAAGGAGGTGGAATGATTGTATGATTGAGGCCTCCTATGGGGCATCTAAAGATCAGCTAGATTAATTACAGCAGAATTTGGGGTTGATCAGAGTAGAAGTTACATCAGGTGCATCCTTATCTTAACAGACAACAGATAATCAGAGTTGGAAGGGACCTTGTAGGTCATCTAGTCCAACCCCCCTCCCAAGCGGGAGACCCTATACCATTTCTGACAAATGGCAGTCCAGTCTCTTCTTGAAAGCCTCCAATGATGAAGCTCCCACAACTTCCAAGGGCAAGTTATTGGTTGATTGTTCTCACTGTCAGAAAATTTCTCCTTATTTCCAGGTTAAATCTCTTCCTTGTTCAGTTTCCATCCATTATTCCTTGTCTGGCCTTCAGGTGCTTTAGAAAATAGTTTGACTCCCTCCTCTCTGTGGCAGCCCCTCAAATATTGGAAGACTGCTATCATGTCTCCCCTGGTCCTTCTCCTCACTAGACTAGCCATGCCCAGTTCCTGTAACCGTTCTTCATATGTTTTAGTCTCCAGTCCCCTAATCATCCTGTACTTTTTCTAGAGTCTCAACATTTTTTTTATAATCTTGGTGAGTTATTTCCTGTTACTGCATTTAGACTATTGATGGTCTTATATACTGTGCATGCACTGTTTTACTGTGGACACACACATCAGAACTCCCTTCCCTTCCTATGTCCATTGTCCCTGGCCAGAACGGCCCCTGCCCCTTCCTTACAGAGGCTTTCCAAAAGGGAGAAATTAATTCAAGGCCTTTGAATGCCCCACCTACCAGGGCGGAGTCACCCACAGTCTTGGGACTTCCCCTGCTGCTCATTTAAAAGCCTTTCCATTTTTCTTATGCTTCTTCCTGGAGTTAAAACCCATCATGGAGACCCCAGAGTGGAAGAGTTTGCAGTTCCTCGTGATAGTATGCTGGTTTTTCGTGAGCCTGGAATCCCTTGCAGGTAAAAGGGGAAAGGGAAGAGAGGTCAGGGAAAAGTTTGTATGCATTAACCTGTGCCTTTAACATCACAGTAAGAAATCCAGCCCCTTGCCCTATTCTTTTCCATCCTTGGGGGAAAGTTTTATATCTATGTACCACCAACTAAGAGAAGCACGGGAACAAACCCAAGTTTTATAAAGTGGCAGTCTCAGTAACACTTTGCACTGGTCACTAGTTTTCTGTTGCCACAGCAGAACTGATGTACTTTGGATTAGTTCCATTGAAAGCAGTTCAGCCAGGGTTGTCTTCTATTCAGTTTCTGCCTGACCTGCACTTGTTAAACAGTGGGGAAAAGAAAGAAAGGAAAAGAAAGGAAAGGAAAAGAGAAAAAGAAAAAAAAGAAATATTTATGGGAGTCCTTGATGCTTAATGTTCTCTGAGCTTGGTTGTTGCCTTGCAGACATTTCATTACCAAACTAGGTAACATCATCAGTGTTAGTGATGTTGTGCTTCTGTTATCTAGTATGGATAATGAAACGTCTGCAAGAAAACCACCAAGCTCAGAGAGCACCAAGGACCCTTTATTTCAACCCCGAGCTACAAATATTCTCCTTTGTGTATTTATTTATATCCCACCTTTATTATGTTTATAAATAATGCAACAAACTTGCCTAATATTCCACTCTCGTCTTATTTTCTCCACAACAATAACCACCCTGTGAGGTAGTCTGGGCTGAGAGTGACTAGCCCAAAGTCACCCACCCAGCTTTCATGCCTAAACCAGGACTAGACCTCATGGTCTCCCGATTTCTAGCCTGATGCCTTAACCACTAAAACCAAACTGGTTCTCCATTCTACTCCATTCAAAGTAGAATGCTTTTTGGAGAGTAACTTAAACCTGCAGAAATGGAACTTCAGCTGAAAACTATAGCAAAAAATATATCCATGGAATTTGAGATGTCACCTCCAATGTGCTTCCCACGGATATATTGATTCTTTTTGAGTCTTTTGTTAAGAAATTGGATTAATACCTGGTTTCAGGTGAGACTGACTGCTGCCCAAGCAAAATCGATGTGAAATCTCTTTAGAAGTACTGATATTTAAATATCTATTTTTAGTACAAAAAATATCTATAAAACAGTCATAATTGATGCTTTATATTGCTATATCTGCTCAGGCACTGAAACTGAAATATTAAGACAAATTATTCAAATTATTCTGAATTATTATCTGAAATATCTAGGATTGTAGCCAAACTTTGTAATATAGCAATGGCAGTTAGATTTTCTGAACATGATCACTTGCCCATGGATGCTTAGCTCAGCCATAAATAATTTTTAGCAAACACTCATATTATGCACCTTTTTTTTGCTTTTAAAATTTTTTGTGTGTGTTTGGTCCATGATCAAATATTTTATGATCTATATTTTAATAAGCGAAAGCAAACACACATGGAAGAGAGTTTAGAGAACATTAAGAAAGGCTTCTGTCTGTGAATGAAAACCTTATATAATGTTAGTTTTTAATATGAACTTTATTAAAAGATTTTGGAAAAGGGAATTTAAAAACCAATAGAAACTAATATAAAGCTAGAACAAGAAAAGAAAAAGAAATAAAAGAGAAAGCTAAAAAGTGTAAGAAAGTGGGGGAGAGTAAAAGAAAAATAAACAAGGAAAATATACAAGGATATAGTTTCTGATTTTATAGATATTATAAATACAATGCTTACCACTTTCTACAGAGGGATGATAGAGAGCATTATATTATTGGTTGGTTGGGAAACATTACTGCTTTGGACAGGAAGGCTTTGCATAGAGTGGTGAGGAGGACAGAAAAGATTATTGAAAGTTCACTTCCTTCTATCAGGACATAGCATATAAGCGCTGCTTGACCATAGTGTTGTCCGTAGTGTTGTCAGGGTCTCTCTACACATCCTGTCTATGATCAGTTTTCATTGTTGCCTTCTGGGGGGAGGCTCTGTAAAGCAGAACAACTAGATTCTATAACAGCTTTATTCCATATAGTATTAACCTTGTTTTAACTCTCAAGTCTCTTTTTTTCCACTATGTATTCAAAATGGACAATGATCAATATAGGTTTTGGTGTCATTTTTGTATATCTTGGCATTTTTGGTGCTACTGCTGTTATTATATTATTGTTGTCTTGGGATGGTGACATTGTTTGGTGGGCGGCATTCCTTCTTTCAAGAGTGGAACATCGGAATTTCATATTAATGTGTTGTGTATACTGGTAAATGGCAATAAATCTTATCTTATCTTAATTGTATATTTACCTCTTACTCTGAGGTTACAAATTACTCTCTTCTTTCTATCCTGCCTCATCATCAAAACATAAACCATTAGGTCATTTTTCCTGGCATTAGGTATGCTTCCTAATTCCTTCCAGTCAATATTCTTTGGCTGATGGGATCCAGAGCATGCCCATCCTAGTGACCTAATCGGGCAGGGAGAAGCATCTAGGAGAAGGTGTTCCCTGAGGGGCCATGAAGGGCTTTAAAAAAAACAACCAGCACTTTGAATTGCATCTGGAAAAACACTGGCAACCAATCCAACTCAAAAAACAATGGTGTTGTGTGTGCCAAGTATCTGACACCATTTACTACCCATACATCTGCATTTTGTCCCAGTTGGACAAATGCTCTTCAAGGGCAGATCCACGTAGAGTATCTTGCAATAATCTAGATGTCACATCACAAGGGCATAAGTCACAGCAAAACTAGGAATGGGCACAACCGGCCTGCAACCAAAAGGTGTGCAAAACCCCTCTTAGTCATGGCTACTACTTATTCTTCCAGTAGAAGCTGTGAGCCCAAGAGGAGCCGCCGATTGTGCGCCAGTACCATGCCATCAAGGAGCAAAGCTGGAAAACCCTTGACACTGAAGGGCATAATTACCTAAAACCACACAGTCTTGCTTGGGTTGATCCAAAGCCCATTGTGCCCCATCCAGGCCCCATGCAGCCTCCAGGCACTGAGACAGGACATCCTCAGCATTACCCTAGAGTGGCAATGTAAAGTTGACTATGATGAGCATACTGATCTCTTTAAATCATCAAATCACCTCATTCAGCAACCTCATGTAGGTTTTAAATAAGAAAGAGGACCGAGTTCTGCAGCACCCCATAAAGTAGGAGCTATGGTCTGACTGTGGACATGCTCCTCCCCTAACAACAGCATGGAATTGACCCCAGAGGAAGGAGGAGAACCAGCAGAATACTGTGTCACCCACCACGTGGTCAACACACTACAAAAAGATGTTGAGACTGTCTAGAAAGAGTGCAGAGAAGAGCAACCAAGATGATTAGGGGACTGGAGACTAAAACATATGAAGAATGGTTACAGGAACTGGGCATGGCTATAGTGAAGAGAAGGACCAGGTGAGACATGATAGCAGTCTTCTGATATTTGAGGGGCTGCCACAGAGAGGAGGGAGTCAAACTATTTTCCAAGGCGCCTGTAGGCCAGACAAGGAATAATGGATGGAAACTAAACAAGGAAGAGATTTAACCTGGAAATAAGGAGAAATTGTCTGACAGTGAGAACAATCAACCAATGGAACAGCTTGCCCTCGGAAGTTTTGGGAGCATCATCATTGGAGGCTTTCAAGAAGAGATTGGACTGCCATTTGTCAGAAATAGTGTAGGGTCTCCTGCTTGGGCAGGGGGTTGGATTAGATGACCTACAAGGCCTCTTCCAACTCTGTTAATCTGTTGACATCAACACTTTTATCCCTCAACTCCCAAAAGGATACCATGATCAATGGTACTGAAGGCTACTAAGAGCAAGGATGGGTGCACTACCCCTATTCTGCTCTCACCAGAGATCTTCCGAGAGCATGGTCTCAATCCATACCCTGGCCTGAATCCTGTTTATTTCATTCAAAATAACCTGTATTTTTCTTGACTTTTCTAAATTCGCTGTCATGTTATTCAAACTAACTTCTAATAAAAGCTTTTCTTGCACTCCAAACCATTCCTAAATCAGTACATTAACATAAACTATTTTTGACAAATTCTTTTAATTTCTCTTCACAGTCTTCCATAATTGCTTCATTCTATTCCAATATTTAATTTAGTCTCCATCTAAAAGAATTAGATTTTCTTATATAAACCAAACTCACAGGATTATGATCTGAAAAACTCTTTAGTAACATCTGTGTTTTAGAAACCTTAGAAGCCAAATTATTTGAGATCTAAATTATGTCTGTTATTGAAAAAGATTTACGTCTTTCAGGAAAGTATGTGTTTTCACTTAAACTGCCATTTTTTCTGTCTGCATACATCAATCAGCTCTAAATTGTCCATCAAATAATAATAAAAAACTTTTAATAATTTGTCAAGAGTAACCTTAATATTTTTCTCAGAATTTCTGTCCAGTTGTGGGAAATTGTTCCACTCCAATTCCCCATCAAACATTTATATAATGTTAGATTGAACTGTAGGATTTCATGTTAATTGGAAAGACTTTCTAGTCAGTTCATCTAATATAATTGGTAGAAGTCTGGCAATTCATTCTGCTGTGCTCTCAAAATTTATCTATTTTAAAGGTTAGTTAAAGGTTATTTAATCTAATTATATATTGGGTAATTTTATTATTTATTATTCCTTGGGTTTACAGTATATGAGGAGTGGCACAATGGCTCAGTGGTTAAAATGCTGGGTTTGTTGGCTGGAAAGCCAGCAGCCCAGGTTTGAGACCGAGTCCCACGTGACGGGGTGAATTTCATTACTTGCCATAGCTCCTGCTCACCTAGCTGTTTGAAAGCAAGCAAATGCAAATAGATAAATAGGTACCACTTTGTTGGGGAGAATGACCGCAGAATCTTTTTGGGGACTGCTGGATCATGGCATTGAAATGGAGATGAGTGCTGCCCCCTATAGTCAGCGACGACTAGTGGAGTAAAATCCGCACAGACTCCTTTCTTTTCCTTACTGAGGAGCACATGACATGGATTTTGTAACTTGCTAACTAACATGTATTTTAATTTGATTTATTTTCTCTCTTTTTAAAATGATGTTCAGGTTTTGTTAGTTTCTAACAATTCTAAAACTACTAAACAGGCTGGAGACTAGCTCCAGATCAAGAAAGTTTTGTTGGTACAAATTGGGGTCTCTTTCATGAACTCCATACAACCTTTTTCCTTATAATTTGTGCCCCTTCTTGAGGACCATCAGACCTCATTTTAATTAACATGTATGATATTATGAGATGCCAATGTGTAACATATTTGAGTACATGTCACTGATTTCCTATGCAAAGGGGAGGTTACTTTTATCCTATCCAATCAACTTTCCTCTTGTATTTCCTTTGTTCTGTTGATTATTATAAAAAGGAATGCAACATGGGGCTCGAGATTCTCCTTTTTCATAGGGAGATACCACTTTAACAGGGTACCCTAATAAACTACTTTTAAATGATCTTCCAACTCGGTTGCTTATTGGGAAGGTAAACTGAGGCAGAACCTAGGATCAGATTTGGCTGTCAATACCATTGGAGCCAACAGAAATTACTCCTGTGAATAAACCTTACAATGTACTATGAAGTTCTTAGGAATATTTATTTTTTAAATTGCTGTATTGACATATAGCCTTCCAGCAAATAAATTATTAGTTAATATAAGGATATTATAATGATAAAAATTACAATGCGCACCCATAAAATCAATCTGTTACTTGAACATTATTTGTACCATAGCAGAAAGTCCAACTAACAGGAACTAAAAAGAATGAGTGGGTGTGTTGTGTTGATAATGAATTATAAACTTCTGAGAATATAAAAACCTGGTGTAAAAGTGTAAACTTCCTGCTTTTGATTCAGAAATAAATTTTTCCTATGCTCCTTTTTTATTGAATGCAAGCTCTCCTCTTTATTGTCTGTGTTATCAGACAACTGTCAACAACATAGAATTAGGATTTATAAATTGCACTCTGGAGCTAGCTTCCATAAATCCCGCCTTGAGATCTTTACCATCAGAAATAAAATAAAGCATGATGGTGTTTTTATGTTTACTACAGCAGAAGATTTCATAGATCAATGTCCACTTCCTTAGGCACATGAAATGTTACCCTTGCTTAGCTGGCAAGGGGAATGGGAACAACAGATACATCGCAGAGACACATAAAAAGCGCAGTTGGTGAGCATTCATTAAAACTGAAACATCATAGCTATCAAATGACTGAAGGAATCGGGGCAACTACGATTCTGCAAAGACCCTAATCTGATTCAAGCAGAAGGAAAGATAGAAGTAAAGGAGCAGAGCAATCCTGGTCCATTTAAAAAGAAAGCCCCAAATGGAGTAATTTGGTGTGGTTGAGTCTAGCCACCATTTAAACCCCCCAATGGACGTACTCAGGGGTGCTGCTCTCTTAGTATCTTGTGGGAAATTTAAAAAGTGACCACGTTCAGCAATTCGAGGTGATGGTGGTAATTGGAGGGTAGGGAGCAGTAATAGTAGACCTTGTCTCCAGAAGTTGCTCCTAGACCTCTCTTCCAGCTGCTTTTTTGTTTGGAAAACAGAACCGGTTCTTCCCTGGGATCTTCCAGTACCCCACACAGCAGTTTTTCTGCCCTTAACATCCCATCTCCAGAACAGGCAGAAAATTCAAGAGTCAGTCAAGCTCGCTCCCAAATGAAAAGTTTTTTTTTTTAATATCCTTTTCTGCAACTATGTGTTGCAGAAATCTACTCCTACATTCATAACAGACCTGGCTTTTCTGTTTGATGAAACAAAATGTGAGGCCTTGGGTTATTTCTCTATATTAATAATCTGGATATCTATGGAAAGCAAGATCCAGTCTGGGTTAGTCAACTGGACCAGACATTTAGCCTTTTGACTTGTGCTGGAGCCCTGCGAGAGAAGTTCTCTGAGGTGGATGGACTCTCTAGCACGAGCCCAAAGGTTCGGAAGACAAAACCTCTGGTCCCGGTGAGCAACCCAGATTGGATCCTGCAACATTATTGTGGGACACATACAGGGGTGGGATACAACAGGGTTAACTACTGGTTCGGGATTTACGAGGTTCAGTGATTTATGATGTGCTTCCCTGCATGCTGTAAGCTGCGCGCCTGTAAACCGCGCAGAGAAGCAGCCTTTGAAACAGCCCTCTTTTCCTGCTTTTTTAACTGCAGCTGTGCCTCATTCAACAGCTGAAGTTGAAAAATCAGGAAATAAAAATCAGAGCCCGGGTGGGCAGGTGGGCAAAAACATCAGCAGACATAGAATCGGTTCTATGTCTGCTGCTCTTCAGAGCTACCGCTTCTACAGAGGTGAACAGAACTGGTAAAATCCTACCCCTGGACACATTTATTTGCCTTCCTTCACCTATGGAAAGCATTCAGATAGGGACTTGCTCCCTTTCATTTTTTATATGTCTATTTTATTTGTGTCCTAGGCTTTTTAAAAATGCAGATATTTGAGCAAAACTGACATTGATTTTTTTTTATTTTAAATTTTTTTTATTGGACAAAAATATTAAAAACAATAAACGTGATGAAATCGTCCTGGCAAACCTATTTGTCATACATATCTATTGTGGATAGCATATAATACTAATTTACAAAATATATACATTTATACATTACAGCAATTTTCCATATTTCTAATCTATCTTAACATCCTTATCTTATTTTAATTTTAATTTTAAGTCCTTCCTTCCCCCCCCACCAATGGTAAAATTTATCCCATACTTTATAGTATTCAGTCTTGTCCTTATTTTTTATTTCCAATGTTAATTTATCCATTTTGGCGCATGTCCATATCTTTTTAATTATCTCAGTTTCATTGGGAAGTGACAGTACTGATTTTGGATACCTATCCAACTAAGGGACTAATTGCTATTATGGACAACTAAATGCTCATGAGTATAGTTATGAAAGGTTGAAAATGGAAAAGAAACAACCACTCTAAGAAACAAGCATCCTCTCAGCTTTCTGATTTTTATTTTGCTGTCTTTTCCTTGGCTCTTACACCTTCCTCTGGACCGTTCTGGTGTGGATAAAAATGTCTATCTCTGGGAAATGGCTCTCTGATCTCAGAGCTAAACTGGGTTTCCTTTTTCAGAGGCTGTGAATGTTCTGTGCTACAAAACTTTTGATGAAATCTCAGGGACCTGCAGTAACTTATTGGGAGATGGAGTTTCCCAGGAAGACTGCTGCCTAAACGATCAATATGGTTTCCAATTGACTGAGAATGGAGCCTGCCAATCCTGCCGGTAAGTGAAACACCGACAGTTCTAACTAACTGCATATTTGTCATATGCTGCAGAAGTGGTCCTAAACCTACTATCTTCGAACCCTCCAAATATTGCTCATTGGTTGAGTGCTGGGCATCTTCCCTTAGGGTTGCTTATCTCATTTCCCCTGTAGGAAGAGAGGCTATAGGGTAGCCACATGCAATATGCATACAGCAGCCTGCAGTTCTCATTTGCAATCCTGCTATCCAGGGATGGGATTCAAATTTTTAACAACCGGTTCTGTGGGTGTGGCTTGGGTGGTGGGTGTGGCTTGGTGGTCATGTGACTGGGTGGGCATCGCTTGGTGGTCATGTTATTGGCTGGGTGTGGCCAACTCAATATCACTCACATCAAGGCACGCATCTCCTCTGCACGCATCTCCTCTGCTGGCCTTTCATGACTGTGGGGATGTTGCAACAGTCATAACTGTGAAAAATGGTCATAAGTCACTTTTTTCAGTGCCATTGTAACTTTGAATGGTCACTCCACACAAGCAAAGTACCAGCAAAGGAGGGGGAAAAAACTCCAGAGACATTCGTGAGACAGGAAGTCTAGTCATGCCAAGAATGTAATAAAGGTTAACGGAGAGGCAGTTTCTGTAAGCAACACCAGAATGTTTCCTTCCTGCCTTCCTTACAGGATTAGGCCAGTAATTTCTTCTAACAACCGGTTCTCCGAACTGCTTAGAATGTTAGCAACCGGTTCTAGCGAATAGGTATGAACTGGTAGAATCCCACCCCTGCTGCTATCTCCAAGCAGGGCTAAATAAGTTCCTTCACAAACATTCAAAAGCTCCTTTTGGCCACTGACAACAATACTCCACCACAAGCACATTGACAGAAGTGTTTAATTTATGCCCAGGCTTCCCCCTTTATACTTGGCCCACCACTAAGGGCAACTTATTTAAAAGCCCTGGTGGTGCAGTGGTTAGAATGCAGTATTGCAGGCTAACTCTAACTACGGTCTCTAGACTAGAGTTCGATCTTGACAGAGCTCAAGGTTGACTCAGCCTTCCATCTTTCAAGATTGGTAAAATGAGGACCCAGATTGTTGGGGGACAATATGCTGACAATGTAAACCACCTAGAGCAGTGGTGGCTAACCTTTTTCAGCTCCTGTGCTGAAAATTGCACGTGCATTTGCACACACGCCCTTGCATGCCAGCACGCAGAAGGCAATGCGTGCTGGGCCCTCCCCACACGTCTCTGCACATACACACGTGTCTGCCCCCTCGTACATGTGCGGCAGATACCTGACAGCCAGTTGTCGGGCGGAAGCACATGCGCAGTGGGGCTGTTCTGGGCAACCTCTCCCGTGCCCGTAGAAGTAGCTCTGCGTGCCACTTCCAGCACGCATGCAATAGGATCGCCATCACGGACCTAGAGTATGCTGTAAAGCACTAAGGGCTGGTATGTAAGTCTACTTGCTATTGCTATTATTTCAATAAAATGAGGACTATAAAACATAAGAACAGTGATGCAGTTAGAATCAAAACCTAAATTAAAAAGTTATTAAAATTAATTAAAGTGGTTAATTTAAATATTGATCTGTGTCCATGAACTATGCTAAGCCACTGGTTTATTGAAGCCATTATGAGCCACAAGTAGCTGTAAACTTAGGCTGTGTAAGGCAGTTTCCTACATTCCAATATATTTTTTTTAAATTTAATTTATTTTTGTACTTATAACTTCCAGATTTTTTTTTTCCATTCTCTCTGCCTGTTGTTTTATCTAGCACTGGATTTGGTTAAGTGACCAATGCGTAGCTTTCATCACATTTGAGTACAGAGAAACACCTATGAAACAAAATGTTCTATTTTAATTTCAGATTATTCCTTCTAAAGAAATGTAACAGCAGATTTAAGCTAAATGTTGTTCTTGTTCATTGAATTAACACTCTGGCAATCAGATCTTCCCCCCTCCCCCCATGTTCTTTGTGGAATTATGAAAGACAGATACTCTTACATACAATTCCCAGTTAAATTACAGAACATGTCATGATGATCAAAAATTTGGACAACTTTTTGACAGATTAATAATGGTTAAGTCTACCCTGAGTAGAAGCTTGCTCATATCTCGCTCTCTTTGGAGGCGTCTGGATGGCAGCTACTTTGGGATCAAAATGGCAATGATGGGCCTTTCCTCTTAGTCAACACGGTTCTTGTTGGCTTGTCAACAAGAAGCTCCGACTACTGAAGTATTTGTTTTATTGTTGGGAAACAGGATGCTGGGCTAGATAGATCCTTGATCTGATCTGATGGAATCATTCATGGTTGGATTTTACATTATGGGGAAACCTTGACCCAAGTCAGTTATCTTTGCTATGCTTTTCCTTTAGCGGAGCTCAGTGGAGTAAATGGTCCTCATGGAGTGCATGCTCTGTCTCCTGCACTGAAGGTGTCCAGCGGCGCAGTCGCGTATGTTATGGCTACCACGAAGGGACATGTCCAATTGGCACACGTGACAGGGAAATGAAATCCTGCCTTCTGAAAGAATGTTGCCCTGGTAAACATTTTTCTCTCCTCTTGATCTTTGCCTAAGCATGAAGCTAGAAATGAGCCAGGGTCATATTTCTTTATCCTTGCATGACTTTGAATTTTGAGATTTTGCAGTCTTCAGAAGCAGCATTCTAAATTAGCTGGCAGTGTTACCTGTCCTACCCACCCATCCCCACCATTTTAAGTGATATTTTGAGAATCTCCCCCTCCAAAGCACCACCTGAATACTTATTCATTTATGCCATCTTGCTTTTCCTCATTAAAAAAAAAACAACAGAAGTTGTGGGGGAGATGTGTTTGTGACATCACAAGTGTTAGTTTGTCAGCACCAATCCCAATCAACTTTTAATGCCATGTTCCAGGATGTTTCCTTTTTCTTTTTTGTAGACTGTACCCTGGAGAGAAAAAGGTACATGTGAATTGGACTTCATGAGCATCCTTCCAAATTTAGGCACTAGAGGGCTTTTGGTCTCTCGCCCATTTCAGTGCCAACAGCTTCCTATCAGCCTAAAATTAGATTCTCACTGTGGCTGCAATTTTACACCCATGTACTACCAGTCCCACTGAGCAAAACACAAGCTTATTTCTGAGTAACTGGACCAGACACAGTCAGGCTTAGCTTCAGGCAGAGCAATACCTCATCTTATTTATTTGAAATACAGGTAATCCTCAGTTAAGGATGGAAATTGTAACCGACAACTCTTGTCGCCAAGCAAGGTGGTTGTGAAGCATAACATCAGGTGACTGTGCCAAAACTACAATGGTCATTGTAGCAGTTTTGGTTGCCATTGTGAAATGAATTCCATGTAGTCATTAGGCATGACATTATGTGATTGCCGTTTGTGACTTCCTGCCAGCTTCCCTGTTGATTTTTGCTTTGCTTGTGGGAAGCTGGCAAAGAAGGTCACATATGTCGATTGCATGACTGCCAGGATGTCACAACTATTTGCAGTTATGAACTGGTTGCAAGCACTAGAACCATGATCTTGTGACTCACTGTGATGGTTGCATCTATGAGAATTGGTTGCAAGGCTTCTCATTCAGCACTGTTGTATGTTCAAACAATCCCCGAACAAGTGGTTGTTAAATGAGGACCACCTGTATAAGCTTAGAACATTTTAGTTATATCCATAAATAACAATAACAATATTGCCCCCATAATGCTTTACAGCACACTCTGGGCATTTTACAACATCAGTATATTGCCCCCAACAACCTGGGTCTTCCTTTTACTGACTTTGGAAGGATGGAAGGCTGAGTCAACCCTGAGCCGATCAGGATTGAACTCCAAGCAGTGGACAGAGTTAACCTGCAATACTGCATTCTAACCACTGCGCCACTAGGGCTCCCATAGAGGTAGTCAATGTTTGAGGCACCCACTTTGAGAGAGTATGTAGGCAATGTGGATAATATTGGCTTTGATAGAATTTCTATAGTTTGTGAAATAAGGTTATTAATGAACTAGAAAGAAGAAAAGCACCACAAGCATTCTAATTTTTCAAGTCTTCAGCAACTCTTTTGATGGGCAGAAAAACTCAAGACAAGTGTTGGCTTGGGGTGGTAGCTAAATTGTTTTTAAAGAGAATTGCAATAGACAATTGAAAGCAAGCAAACAACACCTTTAGGTTTTGATTTTTCCATTGTTTTCCTTTAATAGGTGTAATCTGAAGACAGATTTCTTGGTTTGATGATTTGCACAGGACATGGTTGATTCTGCGTGGAACAAAGATCCCATGTTTTTGCATTTTTTGGGCACAGCTCCAGAAAATGATGGCTAATAAGCCCACAAATGACCATTTCTTATGTGATAATTTGTTTTGATACTTTCACTTCCTCATGTGTGTAAGTTTTTTGAAATTTCCCCCACTCCCCCAAGGAAATGGGTTTTTGCAATTTAGTAATTCCTGTGGTTTGATGTGGATTGCTTTATATCAGGAGTTTCCAAACTTGGCAACTTTAAGACTTGTGGAGTTCAACTCTTAGAATTCTCCAGCCAGCATAGGTGGCCAGAGAATTCTAGGAGTTGAAGTCCACAAGTCTTAAAGTTGCCAAGTTTGGAGACCTCTGCTTTATATTATGTCCAAGGGCTGATGAATCTCCAGGGTGCCCGAATCTTGATGTCAGCTGTTCTTTCCTTGCAGTGATGGGTGGATGGTCAGAATGGAGTTCCTGGGGACCTTGCTCAGTGACCTGTCGAACTGGGACCCAGGCAAGGGAACGAACTTGCACCAATCCAACTCCTGTCTGTGGAGGCAATTGCACAGGATACAACAGAGAAACCAAGACATGCGATACCAGGCAGATTTGCCCAAGTAAGTTGGGATAGAGAGGCAGTTTGGTGTAGTAGTTAAGGCATATGTTGGAAGCTAGAAGACCGTAGGTTCTAGGCAGGGGTGGGATTCAAAAATTCCAGCAACCGGTTCACTGCCTGGCTGCTGGGTGGGTGTGGCCATGGTAGGCATGGCCTACCAGAACTTCCTGTTTCTGGCTTCTGGTGGGCCTCCAGAGCCTAGGAGAGACCGTTTTTGCCCTCCCAAGAGTCCAGAGGCCTCCCCTGGGCCTCTGGGAGGGCGAAAACAGCTTCCCCTGGGCTCTGAGGCCCACTGGAAGCCAGAAACAGGCCCATTTCTGGACTTCCAGAAGGCCTGTTTTCCACCCTCCCAGAGCCTCCAGCGGACCCTGAACTTACCTCCTTGGAGGGGAGGGGAGGGAGGGGCGGGGCCAGCTGGTCAGTTGAAATACCAGTTCGGCAAACCAGCTGTAACATTAACATCCGGTTTGCCCAAACCGTTCCAGACGAGTAGAATCCCACCCCTGGTTCTAGGCCTGCCTTAGTTCCAAAACCATCTAGGTAGCCCTGAGCCGGTCTTTTTCTCTCAGGCCTAGGAAGCAGGTAATGGCAAACCACTTCTGAAATCTTGCCAAGAAAACTGTAGGGACTTGTTTTCTGGAGTTGAAGGCATGTATGTACAAACACACAAACACACACACACACACACACACACAAAATTGGGGTAAATAAATACTGGAGTGAAAAGTACCATGATGGAGAAAAGGGAAATGTTTACTAGAGATTGTATTTCAATCTCTAATTTAGAGTGGGCAATCCACTCTGCATATGGCTTCCCTGAATGTCCCTTCTCAAACATTACTGGATTTGGGCTGATGGGCAACCAGTTGCTGAAGGTTGGACAACAAACTGTACGGATTCAAGTTTCTGACTGAGGGTAATTTCACTGGCTTCCATTCCCCACTAGATAGGAAAAGGTTAAATAACAACTTCGTAATTATGCAAAACACCAGTGATCTCTTCAGTTTTACTAGCAGATTAATACAGGGTGGCTTTATTTGAAGTTGTTGACAAAAATCAAATTCTTCTTTAGGATTGTAAGATAAGAAACAACCAATAAACTTGATTTAAGGTTAAAAGACCTAAAACTGATAAGGATACAGTTGACGATTTCATAAGGAAGCTGTGACATTTTTCTGGCCTGGCTCACAATCTCCAGATTTGCAGCAGAATTTCCTTCCAACCATGAATTTTTGGTTTGTCAATTTTTTAAAAAGTTTGTACACTTCCTTTGCTATGGAAAGAAAAGGAAGGAAGGAAGGAAGGAAGGAAAAGGAAGGAAGGAAGGAAGGAAGGAAGGAAGGAAGGAAGGAAAGACAGACTTTGAGAATGGGGAGATAAAAGGCAATAAGAAGAAATAGAAAAGTTATGTGTGTACTAAGGTAGTTAAACTTCAACTCCTCTAACTTCAGCTCTCAGGATTTTGCAAAATGAGTTCAACCCTCTTGGGAGGAACCAGCTGGGGAAATCTGAATTAAAGGAAATCTCTGTGGTAGATCAGTTTGATCAGATCAGTCAGATAGAGTCGTATTGAAACCTGATAGAAAGAAGACAGAATGAACCTAACATAGCAAAAAGAAGTTTGACTGATATGAATTGTATCCCTGGTCTCGTCCTCAAGTTTTTTACCCAGCGTCTTCTGATTCTCATTCTTCTTACATGTTCTTCTTCTCAATGCAGCTCATGGAAACTGGGGCAGCTGGGGACCCTGGCAGCCCTGCTCCCACACTTGCTCGATAGAAGGCTCAGCCAGACAGCCTCATCAACAACGATCCCGTCTGTGTAACAACCCCCCGCCTTCTTTCAGCCCTCCGGGCAAGCCATGTCCAGGACCAAGAGAGGAATCCCAAAGCTGCACAGGACTTCCCTACTGTCCACGTAAGAGAAGGAAGCTAAGCTTTCAGCCATCCTCAGCCAGCAGGATCTAGAAGGCAACTTAGCACTCCTATGAAGATGCTCTTTCCTTTTATAGGGGGCCATAGGACAGCCCTCTCAACAAAGCAGAGGACCAGAGGCTGTGCTCCTTGGGGTCTTGGCCCAACTAGTTCCAGGCGAATAGATCCATTGGCCCATTCGGATTTGCTCATATTTTGAAACGTATTAATTGGTCATTTCCATTTGGCTTGAGGAGAGCTGCACTCCAGGACATCTGGAAGGTGCCAGCTTCAAGAAAGCGAGCCCCAGTTACTTTTTAAGAGCAGGAAAGATGTAATATGCTTTTACGGCATTTCTCTAAACAAGTATGGGGCCCAGGAAGTTATGAGGATCTGCCTTTTCTCCCCGCTGACTCTACCTACTGTTTTCTCCCACAGGGGATGGCAACTGGGGTGGCTGGAAACCGATGCAACCCTGCACTGTGACTTGTGGGGTTGGCCAAATCTTGCAGAAGCGTCTATGTGACAACCCTTCACCGAAGTATGGAGGGAAGAATTGCCTTGGGGAGGACGTGCGTAGACAACCCTGCACCGTTAAGGTGCCCTGCCCAGGTAATGGGGAAAACTAAGAAGGTCAAAGAATTAGGAAGAACCTCTGAGAGAGTAATCCACAACCTGAACACAGAGAGTTGCTTCTAAGGTAGCTGAGATGCCCCACCCCACCACCGGTTATGCAACTGTTCTGTTCTAGAAAGCTTTACCCAAGTTGACTTTTGCATACATTGGAATCTAAATTAGATGTGATTTCTGATCAACTAAGGCAGAGGTCTCCAAACATGGCAACTTTAAGACTTGTGGACTTCCACTCCCAGAATTCTGGGAGTGGAAGTCCACAAGTCTTAAAGTTGCCAAGTTTGGGGACTCCTGAACTAAGGGATGGGGTAAGCTGAACACTGTGAAACAGGACTGATGGGTTTAATGGTGGGTCTCTTGAGTCAGAACCATATTTTATGCCTAGTCCTTAGTACTTCTGAGCTAGCAACATCAGATGTCTTCAGCAGAGTGGTACTGTTATTCCTTCTCCCTCCTGGGTACACAGCGAGAGATAGGACCAAGATATATAGGGAAGGATGCAGTGGTGGGATTCAATTTTTTTTACTACCAGTTCTGTGTAAGTAGCTTGGTGGGTGTGGCAGGGGACGGATACTGTAAAATCTCCATTCCCTCCCCAACTCCTGGGGGAAGGTTACTGCAAAATCCCCATTCCCTCCCTACCCCACTAACCTACTTTCCAGCTCTGTTCTCCTGTGCAGGACAACAAAAGAAGATCCAGCCAATCAGCTGGGTCTCAGGAGGCAGAGAATAGATGGGGGCGGGGCCAGTCAGAGGTGGCATTTGCTAGTTCTCTGAACTACTCAAAATTTCCGCTAGCGATTCTCTAGAACTGGTCAGAACCTGCTGAATGCCACCTCTGGGGGGGATGTTCCTGTAAAACTGTGGGTGGCTTTGGGCTTAGATTCTTGTCTCTCAGAAAATCTGGCTAGAGAACTGCCCCCTGGCCCTCAACCCTTTTCTGCACTGACCAGATCTTTTTTTTAAATATTTCCCACAGTGGACGGTCATTGGGATGAATGGGGTCCTTGGACGTCTTGTAGCCGTAGCGGTTTTGAAATTGAGTGTGACGAAATCCCCGCCTCTCAGAAAAGAAACAGGAAGTGTATTGGACGGCGCGATGCTGGCAAGCCTTGTGCGGGATTGCGCATGGAAACCAGGGTCTGCTACAGTTTCGAAGGATGCCCTTGTGAGTATTGGGAATCAGAAAAGGTACAAAGAGCTTCCTGTTCTGACCAAGGTTTCCTAGACCAGGGGTCGCCAACCTTTTGGACCTCAGGGACCACCAAACTCATAATTTTAGATCCCAGGGACCACTAACCGGTTCTGTGGGCATGGCCTAATTTGTGGGTGTGGCTTGGTGGTCATGTGAATGGCTGGGCATGGCTTGTATGTAAATATTATAAATATTTATATAAATACTGATTTTTTTTATAAAAAAGAGCAACTTTTACCCCAAATCAGGCAAAGCAGGCAGGCAGATTGAGTTGCTCACAGAATCACAGATTCATTCAGAGATCTATCTGCCATTGGCTAGCTCCGTCTGTCACATAAAATTTGCCAGCAAGCAAACTCACAAAATTAACTCACAACACACGATGCATGTAAATATTGAAGGTTTTATAAAAAAGACCAACTTTTACCCAAAATCAGGCAGAGCAGGCAGGCATTGAGTTGCTCACAGAATCATTCAGTGATCTATCTATCTGCCATCGGCTAGCTCAGTCTCTCAAATTTGCTTGCCGTGAGTCTGCACTGAATTTGCTTGCAAGCAAACCTTCAGCCTAAGGGAGGTTCGGCTGTGCTAAGCCAAAGATCTAAAGACTACTTAGAAAGCAAGAAATCCAACCATTTCCTGCTTCCAAGCCAATCTAAATCTCCTGGCACAGCAGAACAGATGATGGCTGGAAAAAGGAAAAATTTAGCAATTTAGCAGGCAAGTTTGCTGGGTAAGGAGTGAGTGGGCGGGGAGGGTTCCCGCGGGCCATGTGGGTGGCGCAGACTTGTGTTTCTGCACAGCCTGGATTAATTGCTTTGTGCGGGTGCTCTGGGGGTGAGATTTCTCTGCGGCCCACCAAAATTTTCTCACGGCCCACCAGTGGGTCGCAGCCCACCAGTTGGCAACCGCTGTCCTGGACTGTAACTACGCACACACTTATTTTCAAAACAAGACTTATTTTATTGCAATGTTGGGAATTGTTTTCATTCCCAGCTGTAATTAATCTCAAACAGTTCCTTGAGATAAGCACCCACCTTTCTTTTCTGTGAAGTGCTGCCAATAACAGGTGTCAAATGAAGTAGGGGAAAAAAACCCAAACGAAGTACAAAGAGCTTCAAGAATGAATCTGAACCGAACGAACGACTTTGCTTCCTGCAAAGGTTTCGTCATCGTTGCCTGTCCTTTATATTTGATGGGAGGGGCAATCACCTCCCAGCCTTACTCCCAAATCGCCCCTTTTGTTTCAGCTCCTCTCGCCTTCTAGCAGCTCTGCACACACACTCACTGGGAACAGGATCCCCTGGGTCCTTGGCCTTGCTGCTGCCAGACTCCGGAGGCTCCGGAGGCTCTGGAGTCAGCACCCCAGTCCCAGATGGTCCTGGCCTCATCCCTGCATTGGATGCAGAACCCTTGTCTGAGTCCTCTCCAGACTCCCTGACTGGTCCCTGTTCTTCCCCACTGTCCGATTCTGCTGCCATCTGCACCCGCTGCTGGCCAACCACAACACTTCCATGTACCAGAGCAGTCTTCCCCAATCTGGTAGGCTCCAGGTGCCTGTCAATTACTAATCTCATTTTACTAATTACTAGTTACTAATACAATTACTAATCTTAAAGAGCTCACTGTCTGGGAATTGAATTGCAGGCCATCTGGAGGACTCAGAAGGTGGCTTAGTCTGTTTTTCTCTTACACAATCCTGAGAAACTTCTAAGAAGTAACAGGGATTCCACTGAAATGTGTTCTGAATATTAAGATCCTCCTAAGTGAGGGGCACATGGCATGGATTTTGTAATTCGTTAAGTAACACAGTTATTTTGAATTGTAATTTCACTTATTTTCTATGTTCAGACTCATTACAGATTGGAATGTAGGAAAACTTGTATCCTATGTTTGTATGGACTCATTAGAAAGCTTTTAACATTCCTAAACTGAAAAGATAATTTCACAGAAGGATGTCTGGATACTGTCTTCTTATAAGAAACAGTTTCTTAGTTTATTAACAGTTTATTAGATAATATCTGGTTCTCTACATTCAAACAAGCTTTGTGGTTGATTTACTGTGCAGGGAGTACAACCAACCAACTTTCTTTCGTTTTTCTTTCTTGTGTTAGCTTTAAAAAGGAATGTAACATGGGAATCAAGGTTCTCTCTCCTTTTTCAGAGAGAGATCCCACTTTTTCAGGGGATAAAGTAAATAATAAACTGCTTTTAAATGACCTTCCAACTCGGTTGCTTATTGGGAAGTTAAACTGAGGCAGAATTTAAGGCCAAATTGGGCTACCATAAGTCCAGGTAGAATTTATCTTTTTTTATCTTCTTGTGAGGATATCTTTTATCGTCTGAAAAAGTTCAGGGCTCCAGCATTTTGTGCACGAACTGATGCACATGGTGAGGTCAGTGCAGTTAGGGAAAGCAAGAATTCTACAGAAGTAGGGATTAATTTAGAAGGGCTCTTTCTGCAAGTTTGCAGCAGAAGCTAACTGTAAGCAGAATTCACTGACTGGTTCTCCATAATATCATCTAGAAAACATTCTACCTGCAGAATTTTGCATTTAAAATGGCATCAGAAAAACATTATTGTATTCATTTTTAAGTGACAAATAAACAGTTTCATCAGTAAATACAAACAATGCTTTTAAAACAGCAACATGTAGATAAGGAAGAAGGATTGCTCACTATAAGCCAGTACTGTATTCAGTTAACTGCTCCTTTTGTTGTTCATAAGACAAACCTGGGAGCAAATTCTACTCACCTCATAGCTGACTGACTTTCCATGACTTCTATTTATATTTCCCAATTCCAAAATTCCTACCTCATCCATTCACACTTGTAGGGGGATTGTGCCACCCTAATGCTGTATATGTATTTGACATATAGTTTCATTATATTATAGTAAAGTAAAATCAATATCCTATTTGCCCTCTAAGTCCTCTAAGAATGTCTTTTTAGCCCCCATCGAATTTCACAAGAAATTTGTGGTTGAGGGATAGCAACTGGCTTAAAGTTTTTGAGTGGCTATGTTTACATGATGCCCTTAGCTAGTTTACTTACAAACCTAGGAGAGTCATTCAATGTGTTTGGTTAGTTTAAACTGGGGTAGATTGTTTATGGGAGGCTTACTTTATCAGGCAAACATAACTCATCTGGTTGATTAATGGAGAGCCAAAAAGTTGCTTAATATAGTAATCAAGTTACACATGTCTGAACTCTATGATAAGGCAGGGATTCCCACTCATGTCTTTCTGGGCCCAGCCTGAGATGTCAATCATGGTCCTATATTAGATAAAGGGCAGTGCTGAGGGCTGCCCCCTGATGAAGCCTGTTGGTTTGATTGGTGTGTTTCTTCTCAGTGCCGGGGACCTGGTCAGTTTGGAGTCCTTGGGGTCTCTGTGAGCCAGTCTGTGGACCTGAACCTAAAAGAACTCGTAAGAGAGTCTGCACGGCCATCTATCCTAATTTTTCGTAAGTCTGAAATCTGGAAGGAAGGAGGGTTGGAATAAGAACAGTTTCAGTCAAAGGTTAGGACTGCCCTACTGTGTCTGAACTTTGCGCTTGAAGTGGAAAAGAATGAAACTTTGATTTTGGGTTTTAATGATTAGACCAGGGGTGTCAAACTCAAGGCCCAGGGGGCCAGATCTGGTGCTTCTGCCAGCGAAAATGGGCTCCAGAGCTCAGTTTTCAGCTGCCACATCCTCCTGCAACCCTCTGTTCTGACCAAGGCTTCCTGAGACCGTAATTAAGCACACACTTAGTCTAAACAACTCTTGTTTTATTTCAGTGCTAGGAATTATTTGCATTCCCAGCCCATAATGAGTTCCAAACAGTCCCTCGAGATAAGCACCCACCTTTCTCTCCTTTGAATTGCTGCCAACAACTAAAGTGCCAAATTAACTGTAAAAAAACAACCGAAGTACAAAGTCCACACAGAGCTTCAAGGTTTAATTCAAACAGAACAAATAACTTTGCTTTCTGCAAAGGTTTCTCTACCTTTGCACCTTCTTTTACCTTAGGGGAGGGGCAATCACCTCCAAGCCTTACTCCTGAGTCGGCCCTTTTTTCTCAGCTGTTCTTGCCTTCTAGCAGCTCTGCGCGGATGCGCACTGGGAACAGGCTCCCCTTGTTCCTCTGCCTCGCTGCTGCCAGATTCTGGAGGCTCCGGAGTCAATACCCTACTCCCAGATGGTCCTGGCCTCATCTCTATATCAGACGCAGGACCCTCATCCAAGTCCTCTCCAGACTCCTGGACTGGTCCCCATTCTTCCCCACTGTCCGATTCTGCTGATGTCTGC